AGCCCCCAACTTAATTTCTTAATGAGTGGGTGGCCTTTATGATATGATTCTTAGACTATTGATTAAGACGTCATTCGAGAGAAGCTCATGTGAATTCTTGAAAGACACGCCTCTCAAACAAGTCATGTTTCCTGGGACAATTGTCTGTAATTCAGGAATTTTTTTTTAAATTCCATTAAAAAATACTTCTTCCCAATGAGTCCACATTGTGAGCTAGGAAGTGGCAAGACCATTAGGCTTTGAAACCAGGCTGCGGGGGGCTCAAATCCTCACTCCATTACTAGTGACTTTGAACAAATGGCTCAGCTTCAGTGTCCTATGGTTGAAAAAATGAAATGAGACATATTGAGCTTCTAGCACAGGGGCTGACGTATAACAGGCACTTTATAACGCCTTTCTAATGAAATCCCATTGCTTAAAAATATCATTAAGTGACCACATAGCCTAACAAAACTAGGCACCTGGAAAGAAGTTGTCAGTCTTGCTATAAACCAGACCTTTTCTGAGAATGCAAATACCTTCCCTCAACAACTAAATCAGTATTTCTGGGGGTGGGGTCTGCGTAATTTTTAGTTTCCCTAGGCTTGGGGAGCACCCACCACTTGTCTGAAGCCTCCCTACCTCCCTCACCCCCAACACTACAACTGAAAGAGGCAAAAGAGCTCGAAGCAAAGAATGGCAAAGCATCACTCTCCTGGTCGGCTCCACCCGCCAACACGTGCATTTCCAAACATAGTTCAAAAATGTAAAGACTTGGGGTGGTGCCTGTGGCTCAGTGAGTAGGGTGTCAGCCCCATATACCGGGGGTGGTGAGTTCAAACCCAGCCCCGGCCAAACTGCAACAACAAATAAATAAATAAACTTAGTTTAAAAAAAAAAAAGTAAAGACTTAGTTCCAGCTGAGATAATCTGCAAGACCTACAAGGGAACTTTTAAGTTGTAAGCCCCAAATTAAAGTGTCAGAGGTCACTAAATGGACGAAAGTGTGAGCCAATGCAGTCTCCAGGGAGGGAATGTTCCAGGCTCTCCTCAGCTGAAGTCAACACAAGTCAACACAAGAGCACCCCCCATCTTTCCTTGTCCATCTGGAAGGTCTGGAAGGATGAATGAAGAGCAACTACCTTAGTATCCCCAAAAGTTTGCTTCTCCACCAAGCACCCTTTCTGAGACTTTCTATACCTAGAGCAAACTGAACTAAAAAGTAAATTTTAAGAGGGAGAGAATATATTATGTAAAAATATAAGCATCCCAGAACATACTCAAGTCTGTTTTTAAAAATGCAAACAATTCAGTCCCCCACCTTGCCTTTCTTGCCCTGCTACTCAGATCAAAAGTAGGTAGTGACTTTTATACAACTATATCTTGAGTTTCCCACTACACCACTTGCAGAATAACTCAACTCCATTTGTTAGCAATTCCCAAAGCCCTCAGCAGATACTTTCCTAACCTGGAAAGGACGGAGACAGTCATCATTTTTGGCCAGGTTCTCAAGCCTCCCACACTGTGCGACGTGGAACTCTCCAGATCTGTACATCCGGCTTTGCATGGGCTGGTTCTTCTTCCTGTTCTTGGCCTGAAGCTTCCTTCAATTCCCACTTAAAACGTTCCCTCCACCTTGAAATTTCTTTCCTAGGCCAATCCAGTAGTTGCTTCCTTTTTGTTCCCAAGTCACCAGAGTGGGAGGACACCAGGGCCTGCAAAGTAAGGCTCGCGCTGTTTCCCACAGCTCCCAAGCTAAAAGTTTTTACATTTGTTAAATGTTTGGTGTGGGGGGGGGCACGGGATTTTTCATGACATGTGAGTCATATTAAATTCAAATTTCAGTGTACATAAAGTTCTATTAGAACATAACCTGATTGATAAATTTTGCCGATGGCGCTTTCTCTACAAAGTAGGGTTGAGTAGTTCCCATGAAGACCAGATAACAAAACCTAAAATAGTTACTATCTGACCCTTCACAAAAAGTTTGCCAACTCCTGACCTAAGAGGCTAAAACTGCCTTTTATTTTTGTATACGAAGTGCTGGAATCATAGTAAACTCAATGTGAAAAGAAATTACTACCAGGTAGCTAAAAGTTAATCAAAACAAGTTGCCCTATTTCTGAAGAATCAGTGATTAAACTTGTATGCATATAACTTTAACTCAAATAATTATTGTTGCTTTAATTATGTTAACTCAATTCACTGCTCTCCCCAGCTGGCAGTGCTGACGTGGGAGAGAACTGTCAAAGCTAACTGGTAAAGAGAAGCCCTTCCCTTCTCCCCTGGATAAGAGAGTCCATCGTAAGGTTTAGGGGAAGACCCTGAAGTTACCAGAGGGTAAGTTGATAGTGCATCTTCTGTCAAAGGCGACTCATCACAAAGTGTGGAGTCATAAACCCTTCTCTTCATAGATAAGGAAAGGAAGGCTGAGTTTTGCTTGGAAATACTGCTTCCTCTCCACATCCCTGTCCTTAGTTTTCGCTGGGCACATTCTTTCTTGTCCATTCAAATAAAAGTGCACTTGCTGTAACTGTTCCTGATGCTTGTTCTTTCTTCATCAGCTGCCAGGGGATCCCACCTCTCATCCCAACAGTCCACCCAGTCACCTGAGCCAAGTGAGGCAGGCCAGCAGGGAGTCTTCCTTGTGTCCTGGCCTTACACCTGAAGTCCCAGGGAGAAGGGAAGCTGGCTACCAGTTCACGACAAAGGAAGCTTCCCTTGACTGTCACAGGCTTAGCAGAATGCAGCAACGAGGGGCACACCAGGATGACTGAAGAAATGCTTTCCCCGTTGGGGTCTCAGCAGACTCTGACCCCTGGGTAACCTTTCAGTGCTCAGGGTTTGGGTGCTACTCTTGCAGGAGGTGGAATGGATCCAGCCCCAGTGGAGGAGCAGAGCGGGGCAGGGAGGAAGGAGATGAGGAGTAGTAGATCATTCCTGTAGACAATGATTACCAAGGGGACCCTGGCAGGAGGCCAGGCAGGCACCAAGTACAAGGGCAGTCCAAGGGTTTCCGTAGATGCCCAAGCTCCCACACAGCCCAGCCACATAAAGGACTCTGACAGAAAGCAAAACAATGTCAACAATCTTTATTACCAAACTCACTACAGGGTTAACTCTTTAACCCTACTAACAGCAAAAACGGCATCTCTGACAAGATCAAGCATGGAGGTTAACAGACCCAATAAAGATTGTCTCTTAGAAGAGGATTGAAAAATATATACATCTGTGTGGGTTTTTTAAAAGTAAAATTTTCCAGTGTTATAGGAAAAATATCCCAAAGTTATTTCAGTCCATAAAAAATAGCATTTGGCAGTCTGTGCAGCTCTAAAAACCCCAACTCAGGATAACCTACAAGAAAATCACCCCCTCCAATTAAAGGAAAAAAAAATCCCCCTTTCTCCTCTTGTTCATCTTCCATTACTTATTCCTTGAAACCAAAGAATAACAACAGGGTAAACAACATCCAGCTCACTTCTCTTATCTCCTATCCCCAAGAATTATTCCTTAGGAATCTTCTCCCCTACTACAAATAACTGATCTCTAATTTCTGGCTACCAATCTAGAAACCTGCAAATCATCCTTATGCTTCAAGGAGGGGCCTGAGGGCTCCTCAACATGGCAGTGTACCTAACAGAGCCCAGAGTACGGGCTGAGCTAAGTACAGGGTGAAGGTGGGGGATCTTGTAAGCCAAGAATAATACCCCAACACTTATAACTGAACACCTAACCTACCAGGCAACAACTAGCAGCAGGCATGGAAGTATTTGCTACACTAAAAGGCTGTGCACCTCCCCCTTTTAGCCAAAAGGGAGGTGACAGCCAAGTGAGCATCTGACCTCACCATGCACACTTCGGACTGAAGGCACAGAGCAGAGGAAGACACTCGGCCCAAGGGTAGTCTCTGCTGGGTCTGGGTGGATGAAGCTACCCTCCTGGGCAACCTGGTTCACGGCAGCTTTATGGAAGTTTCTCCCCCTTATGCAGCGTTTTTAAGAATAGGGAAAATTTCAATTTGACTTTGTAACTGACAAATTCTTCACAAGCAGCTTCTCTGAAACCGCCAATGGAGACAGACCAGCCTCAGTTGAGGATCATAGCTCTTTCCAGTCAATGGGCTTCTTGCCGGACTTCTGCAGCAGCTCATTGGTCTTAGAGAAGTGTCTACACCCGAAGAAGCCTCTGTACACTGACAATGGGGAGGGATGAGCGGTCTGCAGTACATGATGCCGCTTCTGAAAAATAGGAGAAAAGATGGCAGGTTTGGGATCCTTCTTTTAAAAAAAAGACTGTGTACTACAGCTGCTATACTTTTAAGACCATATACAATTTCTCTTTGACCTCTCTAAATTCTCCCTCCTTCTGAAGGAGAGCACTCAGCATTAGTATTAGAAGCCCATTTATCAAGCAAAGTAGCTGATGGCTCTGAGATGCAAAGAGGACCAGTCTCAGCCTTCGACTTGGCAGCATCTATAATTTTCAAGTGCCCATATCTGAGCGGCAATTGTGCTACTTACACTGCATTTGCTGAAGGTACTGTGATGCACACACTGATGCTTCTTGACTTAAGGTGGGGCTACGAACCCTCGCCTAAGTTAAAAACACTATTAATCGAAAGTGCATTTAAATACATCTAAATAAGCTAACCATCATAGTTTTACCTAGTCTACCTCAAATGTGCTTAGAACGTTATCCTGCAGTTAGGCAAAACTGTCTAACACAAACTTACTTCATCATAGTGTTACGCAGCTCACGTAATTTATGGAATGCACTGACAATGAGACACAGAATGGTTGTAGAGGTACTTGAAGGACTGTTTCTACCAAATGCACACCACGTTAGTACCAGTGTAAAGTCAAAAACCCCGCAAGTCCAACCTCTTAAGTCAGGGAGCTTCTATTTGCATAAGGGAGCTCACTCAACTCTATCAGTTGAAACCTAATTAAACCGAGTTCGAGAATTGGTTAAAAATATTTCTCCAACATTCTTACAGTGGGACATCGCATAGCTATTAGGGAAACACACTGAAGTTACACAAACTATTATGAGATGACCTCCAAAATGATCAGGTGAAAAATAAAAGCAAGATAAAGTAATAGATTCGTTTAAAAGTTTTTCGAAGGAAAAAAACCCTATACTGTCTGACCAATCTCATCATAAAGACAGAAGACTGCCATGGATCATTTAATGATGAGGATTTCTCTGAGAAATGCATCATTAGGTGGTTTCACTGTGTGATTACACAGTGTACTTACACACTAGATGGCATAACCTACCACGCCCCCAAGTTGTATGGTATGGCCTATTGCTTCTAGGCTACAAACCTGTACGGCATGTTTCTGTACTGAGAACTCTAAGCAATTGTGTATCTAAGCACATCAAAACACAGAAAAGGCATAGTAAAAATACAGTAGTATAATCTTCTAGGACCACCATCATATACGGTCCATTTTGGACCAAAATGTGGCATGACCGTACTTACTTTTTAAAATATTACCTGTTGTTATTATTGAACAGTGGCCCAGTAAGGCTGAAAGCAGAGCCTGGAGCCAGACTGTCTGGGTTCAAGGCCCAGCTCTGCCACACAGTAGTTGTGTAACGTGGTAAGTTACTACAACCCTTTAAAGCTGCTTCAGTTTTTATCTGTAAACTGGGAGTAATAACAGAGCTTAGCTTATGAGGTTACTATGAAAGATCAACTGATGATGACTGGGTAAACTATTACAGAAGACCATGGGCATCAAGTGCTGAGCACACACGAGAGCACAGACCCCTGTAAACTTCAGCTATGCTAAGCTTTGAAGGGTAACCTAGCCTCCTATGAAGGGACCGCCACATTCTGGGCAGAGGAAGGAGGATATGCAAAGAAAAAGAAGGCTGGGAATTGGGACCCAGTGAAAAAATACAGGTGGGTCTCAGCCTAGAGCCCACAGTTGAAAGAAGTGAGTCATGGCTGAGAGGCCAGCTGGGCCACCACCCCTTACCCCCAAAAGCACATCAGCCAAAGCCAATGCCTTCCAGAGAGAAGGCGTTCACACCTTCCAGCAAGATCAGCTTAGGGCAAGATCAGCTCTTAGCCAACAAGGCTACAGAGATGAATGTAACTGAATCCAGGGGAAAGAAAGAACACAGATATGAGTGGCCACAAAAGGGCAACTGAGGGAGAAGAGGAGGTGGAAAAGAGAGGAAAAAGAGGTAGGCAGGGAATTGCGTTCTGGATTTCTGGTTGGACAACCACCATCTGGGGGTACTTTATTGCTGAAGAATACAGAAAAACAAGTTCAGTGAGGGACTGATGAAGAAAGAAGAATTTAGTTCAGAAAATGTTGAATTTGGTAAGACTATGGGACAGTGGTAAGGAGACACGCTACAGACCTAGAGCTCAGGAGAGACCTTGGGCTGGAGACAGGACGGATTACAATTATGCTCACACACATTTCTTATGTATCTAATCAGATCTCAGGCGTTCATAAGGTTGGATCATAGGTCATTACGCAATAACAAGTGTATCCCTATCCTAAAGGCTTTTTAAGAGTTAACCAAGGTTCTGCAAGAAAAGCGTTGAACCCCAAGAGCCATGTTCAATTTATCTGCACATTTCTGATACACCAATCACCTCCTACTGAGAAACCAGCCCACCATCATCTCTGATGGACCAGGATTCAAGGATGACATCTAGGTCTGTGATTTCCACAAGCAGATACACGGGTGTTTCAGTAAGTGAGGAAGCAGGCTGGGGGAGGGCGCAGGGAGGGCAGCAACTGGTTTGGTTGTGGTAGGTGTTCATAATTAGATCTTGGGTTTAATGACTGTAGTATTTTCATGGAGAAGTTAAATTTGTGATTAAGTAAAACTCTTTGTGTTTTCTATATGCTCCTGTTTCTTGGAAGAAACTTGCGTTTTCCATCATTTAAAGCACCACTTATTAAATGAATGGGATCCAAGGACCTCAATATCTTTGATGTGTATGACAAGTTCATGTGTATATTACCAACCAAATTAAATCTCAACTTGGCCAGTTATTTTTCTCACATATAACACATCATTACTCCTGTAATGTGTCTGAATTTAGCTCAGTTTCAATGCAAAACCCAACCCTATGCCTTAAGGGAAAATAAAATTCATTTTAGGATATTTCCCAAGGACTCGCAATGAAAGGTGTTAAAACATACCCTATCAATGGCACTGCCCTTCTTCTGAGCATAAGAGCCCCAGAGCAGGAAGACAAGGCCATTCAAGTTTTGATTTAGCCAGGTCACAACTGCATCGGTAAACTGCTCCCAGCCTCTCTCCTTATGAGAATTGGCTTGATGGGCCCGCACAGTGAGGACAGCGTTGAGGAGGAGAACACCTGCAAACACACACAAGGGAAAGAGGTTAAACCCAGGCTGAGACACATCAGCCAAACACACCCAGCAACGGGTTAGCCACATGCTGAAACCACATGCCTGACGGGTGAGCGGAAGATAAATAGGTCACAAAGCATTACATTACAACACCACCAGTGGTGACCTTTGGGTAAGAAAATCACACAGCCTTTTATTTTTCTCTTCCAGCTTGCTGCAGTGGACATGCCTTAGAGCCCTCCATCAGAAGGAATTGTTTAAAAAAAAAAATCCCAAGAGATACTGGGATCTCAGAACACTAAAAGTAGGCCAAAATAATTCATTAAAAAAAAAAAAGAAAAAGAAAAAAACTGCAAAAAAACAAAGAATAAACTTTTTTTTGAAGACAGAGTCTTACTATGTCACCCTCAGTAGAGTGCCGTGACATCACAGTTCACAGCAATCTCAAACTCTTGGATTTAAGCAATTCTCTTGCCTCCCGAGTAGCTGGGACTACAGGTGCCTGCATAATGCCTGGCTATTTTTTGGTTGGAGTTGTCATTGTTGTTTAGCAGGCCCAGGCCAGGCTTTTTTCTTTTTTTTTTT